TTATACCGTATCCGACGTAAAGTTTCACCCGGCGGACAATTGTTTATTTATTCAGGGCGACCTTCTCCCTAATGCTTTCATTCATGTTGGCACGCCCCCGTCAATCATCTACCGTTGGTCAATAAATAAAAACAAGAAAAGATCGATCCTGTAAGTTGTACAGTTGTACTGGGAGGGGGGAGTTGAAGGAATAGGAAATAAGAGGGCAAATTACACCCGTCCTATCAATTTTGGACATCATTGGGAAATTACGGGGTGAATATACTTAAAAAACCCTAACTTTTTGAACGTTAGAATTATTTATATATCTCATTCATTTTTTGTATCCGTATTTCTCTTTTCCGTCACTCACATCTCTCTCTCTCCCTCTTTATTTCTTTCTTTCCATCTCGCTCTCTCTCTCTCTCTCTCTCTCTCTCTCTCTGTGTGTGTCTGTCTGTCTGTCTGTCTCTCTCTCTCTCTCTCTCTCTCTCTCTCTCTCTCTATCTATCTATCTATTTATCTTACCACCTCTCTCTCTCTCTCTCTCTCTCTCTCTATCTATCTATCTATCTATCTATTTATCTTACCACCTCTCACTCTCTCTCTCTCACTCTCTCTCTCTCTCTCTATCTATCCATCTATCTATCTATCTATCTATCTATCTCTATCTATCTATCTCCCTCTCTCTTTCTCACTCTCTCTCTCTCTCTCTCTCTCTCTCTCTCTCTCTCTCTCTCTACAAAATGCTTGTATAAGATATGTTTATAATATCGAATACTTTGATCATGTCACACCATATTATGCCAAAGCAAAAATTTTAAAAATTAAAGAAAGAAGAGCACTAATACTCTCGATGTTCTTAATAAAATTATTAAAAAGACAAAAACCATCATATCTGATAAACAACTTTAAATTGTATAAGCCTATCCATGACAAGAATACGAGTTATGATAAACACAACTTAATATTGCCTAAAATCAGAATTTCTATCTACAATGCATCCTTTCTAGTAAAAGCAATCAATAATTATAATAAAAATAACCTGTACCATTTACTACTTATACCATATGTAAAAGCGAAATCTATATTAAAAGAAGACTTCCTGAATATCCTCGTGTTTTATATATATATATATATATATATATATATATATATATATATATAAGTGTGTGCTTTATACTATACTACTATACTAGACTGAATTATGTACTATTATGTTAAGATTATTTATTACTAAATTTGCTATTATTAGTAAATTATTAACACTATTTATTATTTATTTGTTATTTATTAGTAGCGTACATTAAATTAGCATTGTTATATTTAAGCCATAATTAGAAAGACACCTTGTAAAAATGAAAATTATAATTAAGAAATGACGATAAATTGATATAATTATCTGTTAGAGATGAATAAAAAAAATGTTAACATTAAGTTTCCTGAATTCGGTAAGAGAGGACCCTATGGTCCTATGTAAGCTTCAGGTTAATAAACTATTCATTCATTCATTCTCTCTCTCTCTCTCTCTCTCTCTCTCTCTCTCTCTCTCTCTCTCTCTATCTATCTATCTATCTATCTATCTATCTATCTATCTATCTATCTATCTATCTATCTATCTATCTATTTATCTATCTATCTATCTTTCTTTCCATCTCTCTCTCTATCTATCTAACTACCTTTCTTTCCATTTCTCTCTCTCTATCTCTCTCACCTCTTGTAAGGTTTCTTGTACATTTTATTTATGTAGAAAATTCAATACATGCCATTGCTACAAACTTTTTTGATGAAAAAGCCATGTTTATTTTCTTAGAAACCGAGCAGTAAATACATACTAAATAGTAAAGAAACTCATTTTCCGGCCCTCTCAGTTTGTCCTTCTTTTGAACTTCACTCACATTCCTTTCATATGTCACATTTTACTATTTTCTATTATCTACAATAATTCACTTCTTTTCTTTCTCTCTTAATCTCAATGATTTTCACTGTTTATATAACTTTCTTTTTTGCTTACCAGTCGTTATTATACTCTCCTTCATTCTCGCCTTTTATTTAATATTTGTAATCTGTCTAACTATATCTTTCTGTTTCTTTCCCTTTCTACTTTGTCTGCGTATAACTAATTTTGATAAATGACCCGTTGGATACTTGAGGTATTTTATACATGTTGGTTTTGAGCAAGTTGGAAGTTCATTGGTATATTTCATTTTATTAATAGTTATTCTTTGGTATGTTTGTTTATTATCACTATTTATGACATTTTAATGGATATTTTGTTAGAAGTGTTTAAATGTTACAAGTGGGTTCGCTTATATAGTTGAATGGGTGAGAAGGGTCTAATTTGAATAAATTAACGGTAGGTCAGTGAGGTTGATTCCGTGAGGGTAAGTGGGTTGGTCGTAATTAGAAAAGAGGGGGTGAGAAAGACATCGTTGAAGGGGCTGGATGTTGGCCCCGGGGGTTGGGGATCAGGCTGGAGATGTAGAATTGTGTTTCAATACAATTCCGAGAGTTCGGGGAAGGCCGGGGGTGCTTCTCGGATCGATATCCTTGTAGAATTTGTCCTGAGCCGTGTGTGCGTGCGTGTAGAGGGTTGTAAGAGCGGGGGTACAAGACAGGGGTGGTTTCCCTTGGCGGAGAGAGAAATCGATGAGAGGCCGGGGTGGCGGCCATTTTGTGCAAGGGTGGTTGAACTTGGTGTGGGGGGTCGATACGTGGGTTGAGTTCTTATCTGGCACCACTTGAGATAGCGGACCCGTTTTCCTGGAGGAAAGGGCCCGGAGGGGATCCGAGATCAAAACCTCCTTAGGATAGCGGAGCCGGGGAGAAACCGATTCCAGATCGGAGCGTTATCTCTTAAAAAGAAATAAAAACCAAATTCCCTCCATGTCAGAGCTACAATTAACTGAGGGGTCCTTAAGGGCTAAGGGGCTGTCCACTTTAGCCATAATATAGCGACCATTACGCTTTAATGACCACATACAATTAGGGAGGAATAATTTTTTCGCCATTTTAAAAAATGCATTTAGTTTCTAATTTAAATTAAACAATTTTCTTTTCAACTAAATTCTTTTCACTATGTTATACATTTTTAAACGATTTTGGTAAAAGTAAAAATAGTGAAAAAGTTGTTAGGTATTAAAATACGTCTTTTTAATAGAAAACTATGATTGTTCTTAATAATTGTTCAAATTCTATGTGTACTACTCTGTTTAGTAGGTTGATGATATCAGACCACAATAAATAGACTTTCAATGTCCAATTGATTTTTTAAACTCCTAATCACAGGATGAAATCTGAAGTCCATAATCCCACCGCTATATCGGATTAGGGTATAGTCCGTGAGTTGATAAACCTGTAATTTGGTCATTATTAATAATCTTGGTCTGCTCAGTGTTGGGCAAAAATTAGTCATGTCTAATGATTAAGGATTGATCACGCAGACCGTTAGTCATGATTGGTAGTAAATGACTAATTTAGACATTAGTCACCAAATGTGATTGGTGGCTAAATTAGTCATGACTAGTAATTAAATACGTGGCATGACTAATTTAATCACAATATAGTTAGTAATGACTAAATTTCGACAAATCATGTTCAAATAGTTGATCAAAAAATGAAAAATACAGAAGTTCATCATTTTGAAAAAATTTCTAATAGAAATTTATTTCATCAAAAGGAAAATCCTTCAACACCTTATTTAATAAAAATCAATCATCCAATTATAACTAAAACTATGTCGTTATGAAAAGCGAAAAAAATAATGATAGTAATAATAGTAACAATAAAATATAAAAACATCCTAGAACAAGCTACGCTTTAAAAAGTAAATATGTTTACATAACCAATCAATGGAAAAAATATTTCTTTGAATTAAAATTTATTCCATCATCATTTATCTAACTAATTCAATCATGATTAAGAATTTTGATTGAAGTTTAATCCTGATTGAATTAGTCATGATTAAATTAATCATTATATGATTTAGTCATGATTAATTCAATCATGAGGTATAACTAGATTTTGCCCAACTCTGGCTACAATGACCAATTTACCAAAATCCAACCGAGTCCGGATAAAAATTTTGAGATAAGAGTCGTTCTCAAGGCCAACTTTCAAAAAATATTATCATAAAGGAAAACCAAAGTTACATAATTGTTCTATTTGTCTACTTTATTACAATCAAGACCCCTAGATGGTGTATTTTCCAAAAAATGTAGAAATCTCTCCTTTCAAGTGGAATAAATTTTAATTCAAAGAAATATTTTTCAGTTGATCGGTTATGTAAACATATTTACTTTTCAAAGCGTAGCTTGTTCTAGGATTTTTTTTTATTTTATTATTATTATTATCATTGTGTGGTGATTAGTGACAGTTAATCAATAATTATTTTTTTGCTTTTCATAACGACGTAGTTTTACTTATAATTGGATGATTGATTTCTGTTAAATAAGGTGTTGAAGGATTTTCCTTTTGATGAAATAAATTTCTATTAGAAATTTTTTTAAAAATGATGAACTTGTGTATTTTTCATTTTTTGAGCACCCATTTGAGCATGATTTATCGACATTTAGTCACGACTAACTATATTGTGACTAAATTAGTCATGCCTCGTATTTAATTACTAGTCATGACTAATTTAGCCATCGATGACATATAGTCACTAATGACTAAATTAGTCAGTTACTACCAATCATGACTAACGGTCTGATTGATCAATCATAAATCATTAGACGTGACTAATTTTTGCCCAACACTGTCAGAAGATGGCAATGTGCCAGAATATTCTGAAAATGATTCTACGAGGACACTTATTATCACAGATATATTAGAAATAAATATGCTAACTACAGAATAGGAATGTTGGGTAATAAATCGATGAAGTTGAGAATCGATTTTGTTTCTATTTTCAGTTCTACGTCGAAATCGTCATGTTAAAACAGAAAAATTTATAAATTTTACTCAACTGAACGTACGATTGAATTTTTAATTTTATAGTTTGATAATATTTGATGTTACAGAACCGAGTTCAAGAAATCCGACGAGGTTGCATTTCAAGTACTCCACATGGCTTTAAAGTAAGAACCGAAATGAACATTTTAAAATTATTAATGATTTATTCATACCGATTAATTATAATTGTTTTAAATCATTTTAGCTTTGCTTTAAGCATAGATAACCTAGACGATATGATTTGGAAGATGAACATTCATGAAAATATTTTTGACTAATTTCGTGGTCCGCTTGACCAATTAATATATTACAATTAATTAAGGTTTTCAGTTGAGATAAAAAAGTCAATGACACGAGCGGGATTCGAACCCACGATCTTCGGCTTGATACGACGCTGCTCTACCACTTGAGCTATCGTGACCTCGATCCACTCGGACACCAATTAATTGATCATGCGGACCACGAAATTAGTGAATTGAATAAGTTTAAAATGAAGTATACCTTCACTAAAGCTCTCCGTGGCCATTTCATTTGTCGCCGAGAATCGAATTGATTACACGACATTTGAAAAATGGCAAAAAGGAGGGAAAATTCAAAAGGTGTGTTTGAGGTGGGAAGTTGGTGTCCGAATGGATCGAGGTCACGATAGCTTAAGTGGTAGAGCAGCGGCGTATCAAGCCGAAGATCGTGGGTTCGAATCCCTCTCGTACCATTGACTTTTTTATCTCAACTGAAAACCTTAATTATTTGTTCTCAAGGTTTTCAGACGAACACAAGTTTTTTGTATTATGATTTCTAGCTACATTTCCACGGAATTGATTTTAATTTTGATATACGTTTATTTTTAAGAAGAGTATTTATTTTTGCTGAAACATTGAATTCTAAAGTTTTAACATTTTTGAACAATTTTGCACGAGAGGCCAAAATGCCGTTTTTCTGACATTTTCTCATAATCTGTCTGGTATTCTTCAACCAATTTTTGTTTGTTTTATCTTTCTTCTTTCTATATTCTTAGTATACTACGAATTCATAGGTAGGGTTATTTTTAAAATAGTGAGTAGATAATTTTAGAAAAAATGTAACATTGAGACGATGTAAAGTAAAAATAAGTAATTAATTAAGTAAAGTGAAAGACAGTAATTCCTGACAAAGACAGTAAGCCCTGACGGGGCCAAATTTCATACTATTCTGATATGAAAACATCATGATCTACACCGTGATTCGAACCCTGGAGCTCTAGCACGGCAAATACGAATCGGACACCCTAATCCCTCGACTACTAAGGTCCTTTTTAGCAAAGTACTACACTTTTTTTTATACAAAAATTATTATATCTCAACTCCGGGGTGTTTTTAAACTTAACTTCTTATTTGTTTGTTTATTAAAGTAATCTACAATAAAACATATTATTTTAATATGACCAAGGTTTTTGGAAGCCATTTACTGATCGACCTCAAATTTTTCATGTTACAGCTCAAATTGATGCACATTAAGTAATTTATCGTGTATTGTTAAGCTGTTTTATGTTTTATTTAGACGATTTGACTCAAAAGGTACATAAAATACGAAAATGTGGAAGGAGAGCATAGTATACATCAGAATACTTAATTCGCCACTTTCAAAAACTGATTTGAAGCATTTTTAAAGTAAGTACAATCATGGGACCACCGTTAAAGCATTTTGCTCTAAATTTACACGGGAAAAATATCCAAAATATTTAGTACCTTGTGAAAATCTTTTGTTTAGAAAATATGAAAGAAACGTGAACATGATTTTTTTTTTAAATTTAAACAGAGAGAAACAGTAAAGTAAAAAAAATATCCCTTCATACATCAGGACTTAACATCCATCTACCTCCTGTTAAATACTTTTCAATCCTTGTTTCATATTATTCTCAAATATCCGCGGGTTATGTCGGGATTCGAACCCAGGACCGCAATTACGAATTGGAATTCCTGACTCGGTCACGGCGGTCCCCTCAGCAGGGAGAAGTGTAATTAAAGGAATTGACTTAGTTCAATTGACGATAAACATTACAATAACAAAAAAAGTCAATAACATTTATTACCTAACAGTGAATCAAGAAAAATAACAGCAATTAAACCCTTTGCAAGACGTTATTATGCCAGTAAAATCCAAATATCATATATTACTTAAGAAATTAAAAATAAATAAAATTAGTGGTAATTACTGTTATTCAGGACGGCTTAACATCCAACTACACTTTTGTTGTCGTCCAATCTTTTTTCACAATATGGTTTCTTAAAAATTAGTCTATGCATTTTTAATAAACCATAACCAGATTCAAACCGAAAAAATCATGGCCATTAAAATTACCTGCATTTTTCTTTTTCCAGTGATGATAAAAAATTCTCAACGGCAAGTGTAATCTGTCCCAACTGAACAGACCAAAATTTTAAATTATCCATTATATTTAGTGGTCGGTTTAATGACTAAATTACTTTTTTCAATTAATTATTCTTTTTATGTAAGGTCTTGGTTGAGATGAAAATTAGTGTTACGAGCGGGATTCGAACCCACGACTTCGGCTCAATACGCCGGTGCTCTAACCACTTGAGCTATCGTGACTTCGATCCATTCGGGCACTAACTCCCCAACTCAACCCACAACCTTTCGAATTTTCCCTTTTTTTGCTATTTTTCAAATCCGAAAATCATATCGAAGTCACGATAGTTCAAGTGGTTAGAGCCGTATCGAGCCGAAGATCGTGAGTTCGAATCCCGCTCGTGACACTAACTTTTTCATCTCAAAGAAAACCTTATATAAAAAGAATAATTAATTGAAAGAAGTAATTTGGTCATTAGCCCACTAAACATAATGGATTTAATAAGTAAAAAGTATCACTTCACTGACAGCTCCCCGGGGCCACTTCATAATTCCTGGAGAATAGAATCCTGGTTATACGACATTTGGAAAATTAAAAAAAAGGAGGGAAAATTCGAACGGTTGTAGGTTGAGATAGGGAGTTGGTGTCCGAGTGGATTGAAGTCACAATAGCTCAAGTGGTTAGAGCACTGGCGTATTGAGGCGAAGGTCGTGGGTTCGAATCCCGCTCTTAACACTAACTTTTTCACGAAGTCACGATAGCTCAAGTGGTTAGAGCAGGCTGCTCTGAGCAGCGAAGTACTGACCCGAAGTTCGTGTTTTTTTTCTTTTTCACTTGCTGTTCGTACTTTGAAAAGAGATTGTCCTAGAAGAGAACTACAAATGTTTCATTTTTGACGTGCATTCTACTAGTTATAGTTTTAGTTCTATATCATCAAAATATGACGCATTTGAACTTTTAAGCAATTCTAGCAAAAGTTTGTTTTCTGCTCGCTTCAGAAGGTACTTTTAACATTAAAGATACGCCTTTTTTTTCTTTTTTGGAACAGAAAGTATAGAATGTGATGAAACTATTTAATCAAATAGATTAGCCATGAAGATGTGTATTTAGTTTTCTTTAATTTAAAGCCGGCATTTAACTCGAATTAGACTAGAAAAATTCCAGTTTGGTTTCTGTAGCATTCCAGTTATAATTGAGAACCAATTTAAATTACTTTTTTTATACTGTTATCAATTAAAATTTCATAAGCTATGCCGGGATTCGTACCCGGAATCACTAGCGTTGCAAATACGAGGGGTCACTCGGATATCCCCTTACATAAATATAATTTATTTCTTATATGTTACGTATTTCTAATACTTTTTCCGTACGTTAGAATAATATTGGCTGATAGTTTTAAAATTAATCATTATGTATTAGGTTTATCAATTTAATAATTTTTTAACACCAATTTTTCTTATCTAAGAATAATATAAAAAAATAAATTTTGTAAATATTCCTGGGAATTTTTTAAATTGTAAGGAATCATCCTATTCCATAAATCTATTTTTATGATAGTATCTTGTTGTTTTGGTCCGCATTGACTACCTTATAACTTTTGTCCTAGAAGCTAGTGTACCCTTTTTTTAAAAGTTGTGTCTATGTAACATTTCGTATGATTTTATTAAGACTTTATGAAAAAATATAACAATTATAATGGTGGAATCCTGGAATTTTCCCGCAACATTTTCAGAAGATGTTAGGGTTTTAATTTAGGAAAATAGGTAGTAAACACATTTTATTTTTGAACTGTTGAAATTGGAGTTATGCTGGCCCATTTGTTAAAATTTGTAAATTTGCGGAAAAATGTACGTAATTAACGTAACATGTATTTCGGCATAATGTTACTATATTATGACTTAATAAATAATAAAATTACATTTATTCCGTTGTACGTAAATAAACATGGCAGACATGTTTTAAAATTAATGATTAACTATAAAAAAATGAATTAATAATTTAAAAAACTCATTGTTTCAAGTTCTTTCGTTTGCACTTTTTGATGATATCTAATCAATACGAAAAAATACCAACTTATAGAAAAGAAATATTGATATCATAAAAAAACGATGATAATTCATTTGTTAAGTAAAGGGATGAAGTAAAAATAAAATTCAGAACAAACTTGGCATAATTTTTTGTGTCGCTAGTTGACACAAATTATATAATAAATATTGTCTCTTTCTCATTCTCTCTCTCTTTTTCTCTTTCTCTTTTTTTACTCTCTCCCTCTCGCCCTCTCCAAGTCGTGTGGTACAAAGTCTGCGGCTATAAATGAACCTTTAACTTTTGAACATTCTTTCGCTCGTTATCTCTCTTTCTCACTCTCACTCCTTCCCACACTCCCTTTCTTTCGTTTTTTTATGTGTTGCTTCTTCAGTAAATTTTCACTTCCACACAACACAAATAATGAAAAAACATCCTTTCGTCTTAAAAACGGTTGTTATCCCTCAGTGATTAAATTAAAATATATGATAAATAATAATAATCGAAGTATTGAATTTACCTAGAAAGAAATTTGTTCAATTTGAAGTTAATAATCCAAAAATTAACATAAAAAACGGAATTTTATTATGTATATATTTATATCTTGGACTCGAGGCCATTTGTTTTAAAACAATCCGATTCTAAATAATCACACAAGTAATGAAATGTATGTATGAATAAAATAAAATATATTTCCTTTTATTTTTGATAAAATTGAGGGTGATATATTTTATATGGCGTATATTTATAAATTTAATTTTTGAGGCGAGGATAATTAGAAGTCCAAAATTATTACGGTAGTACAATTTTTTACAAGTTAACATGACTCTGAATTTTGATGAACTTGGCATCAAAATTTCGGTAATAAGAAAAAAATACAATGTAATTATTTCTATACTGTATAATTATTGGTTGTTTAGGTAATGTTTGTTATTTTCGACTTTACAGTCTGGTGTGGTATAGGATGAAATATGGGGTTGTTTTTTGTACGATTTTGTGTATTTCTTTTCTTCACGGTTATCATGATTGGCACCATTCACCATTTCATGTACCATTGTTGTCTTTTGTCCGTTCGGTTGATTCAATAGCTTGCCGGCTCTCCTAGTAGCCGTACCTGAGAATTAGGGGCAAGGGCCCATCGATTCTTCAAGGGCGAGCGTTAAGAAGTAGGTTGGCCCATCGCCACCCCCGAAACGCACCCCCTAATGAGGCGGCCGGGAGTAAAATGGCAGTTGGGGTAGGTCAGCTGTGCTAGACAATGGGGCTGTTATTAGCGGCTCCCGGCCCTGAGAAGGGGTGGGTGGTTTTTAAGAGGGGGGTGGCCACCCCTGCTCGGAATGAATGGAGCCGGGCCCTCATTGGCCGCACCCCCTCTCAAAAAGGGGTGGAGCTAATCAACACCTTCATTCATACTACCCTGTTAGTATTTAGTAACCCAGGCTACGTTCCTCTCACTTACCCTCAATCCCTTAACAAAGTTCGGATTACCGGCGACCTCATTTTTTCTTTCATTCAACCAACTTTTTTTTCTTGATTAAGTAATTATATCAACGTGGGGCTTTCAAGACAACTTTCACGATAACGGCACATCGAGTGTTCATAATGAAGTTCATAATTAAATACTAACAAAAGGTAATTATCGTAAGTAAACAGAAGTTTAATTTATATATAGAAAGTTCAATTTAACTACATCTACAAGCAAAAATCTCATCCAGTCATAAAAATCACTGAGCTTAATTAATACTTGCCTTATTACCTAGATCTTATAATGAAAAAAATTGGTATTTCTTCAGATATTTTCAGGATTTAATGGTAAAATTGTATGTAATTTTTTGTTTCTTTTGTTTCAAGTTTGATATTGATTTTTGCACATAGTAGAATATAACAAAAATGTTTATTTGAATAAAAAAGATCGTGTTTTATAATTATACGAATCTTTTTTCATGTTTAGGGCTTTTTAAATTGCTAGAAAATTGAAATTTCAGGTCAAAAATATCCTGCTTTACCAGGAGCGCGAGAAGTGACGTAATAATATGATTTTTTATCTTTTTTTCAGCCATGGATTTTGGCCAGTTATTAGCCACTTGTTAATTTTACACTCGAATTATGTTTTATACTTGAAATATTTATCTCACATGTGTATAAAAATAGTCAAAAAATGACTTACGTTTAGTAAAGAGCCCAATGAAATTTTGGCTCTGTTGAAATACTAAAGAATTAATGATAATTTATCAATAATTATGTCTATTTATTGCAAATTAATTACTGATCAAATTGAACTGTATTATTATTTATTTTAATCTTGAAAAATAAAACATTCTAATTACAGATTGGCAAATCAGGTATTGAAATCTAAGTATTGTTTCTAATTTCTTTAAAATGAAATTTCCACACACACACACACACACACACACACACACACACACACACACACATATATATATAGATATATATTTATATATATATATATATATATATACATATATAAAATATGGGTTATGAAAAAATCAAATTTCGACAAATGCCAAATCGACACAAGTGCCAATGGGAGAAAATACAATTCTGTCTATAACTAAAAATATATTGTTATAAATAACGTCTGTTTATCATTAATTAATTTGAATAACTGTAATTAAAATGAAATGGGAATTGACTAATTTAATTTAGACTCTTTTCCAAAAAACAAAAGTGACCTATTTAACTGAAATGTCATCATTTAACTAATTAAGGATTCTCATAAACAAATATTTGTAAAAAGAATAGAAATATGTGTAAGAAGAAAATTTAATCGAAATCAAATTTGAAATTCCTTTTTTCTCTTGGCAAAAAAAAAATTATAATCAATAATTGAAGTAATCAATGTGTACACACGAAGATTTACTTCTTTATTTTTGTTTATCTGTTATAGTTATAATTCAAACGAAGAATATTTTATAAGCTACATATCCATACAACCAATGATATTTAATTAATTAATAAAGAAAGAAAGTAAAATTTAATAGAAAAATATCAAGTTGAAAGAGTCTAATTGGAGAGAATAAATCCTTCTTAGTACGACTGTATTAATTATATTTTAGTATAATTATACATGCTGTTGTGAAAAGAAAAAATCAGTTATAATGTCTACGCTTTAAAACAACGTGATAGATGTCAATGAAAATTATACATATTTTTTTAATTAATCAACTTTTTTCATAAAAATGTGATCCAAATACTGTCATCAAAATTAATTAGTTTTTTATTATAGGACTTGGGCATTGTTATACAGTATATCGAAAATTTTGTTCTGTTGAATCAATTAATCATTACCTATTAGTTTTACATATTTAATAATTTTGTAAATTTGTAAATAAACCAATAATGTTTTACAACCTCAGTTAGCATATAAGGAAAATTAATTGAAATTTAATGAATACATAAATTCTAACGAACAGAATAATTAATTTTAATTAAAAAACAAATTAACAACAATTAATTAGTGTTTTATTTTTTGATTTTGGCATTTTTATGTGTTATATGGAATAAAACTACCACAAGTTAATAAATTTTTTTCTGTTAAATCAAATAATCATTACCTATTAGTATTACATATTTAATTGGTAATAGCTTTTTGTAATGTGTATATTAAACAAATAAGCTTTTATAAAGGATAAAACTCAGTTTGCGTATAAGAAAAATAAATTGAAATGTAATAAATACATAAATTCTACTGAACAGAATAATTAATTCTGATAAAAAAAAACAACATGAAAAATGAAATTTACGAAGAAAAATACTTTTTGAGAGTCCAAAACTTTTGGGAAAAGCTTTATGGATGCAATTAACCAATTTTGAACATGCATAATTAAAAAAATAACGAATAATTATTATGATTGTGGTACGTTAGTGATTTGTTTTCATGTTGGATTTTAGCAATGTCTGGCATACTACCACTCAAGGTATAATTGACATAAACCTGTGAACGATGCTTAATATTGAAGATTACTTAGTTTATCAAAAGTTTAGTAAATTAGTGTAATGAAGCTAGAAAAAATTGCTGAATTTGTTCTGACAAATGTCAATTTGTTTTTCTATTTTGTCATATCTCATGTCACTTTATTTAACATTTTTCTTGTTTTTTCATTGTTGTCTTTTAGATAAAAGTAACTCACCTCAAGACGTCTCGGGAGCTGTTGATTTTCCCAGGATGTCTTCCACACCCCTTGCTGGCCAATGGAGGAGTGATGCCAGGAGCAAGAGGCACCGGGGGTGGCGGCGCTGGAAACGCAGGCCCGGGGGTGGCGGCCCAGGGGTGGTGGGGGCGGCCGGCTCCACCCCACTACGGGCTGCAATTTTTAAATAATAACGTTCCTCGTACAATAGTAAGTTTTATACCGCCTCTGAGAAAATTCAACACTAGCGAAAAATAAATGGGAAACCTTTCGGAAAATTCAATTTTACGATCCTGTCGCATTATGCTGATGTGTTTATTTGATGTAATCATTAACCAAATACTATTTAACAAAAATAAAAACGAAAATAAAGATCATTTTCATGCTATTTTGAATTAAAATAATCTCATATTTTGGTTTTATTTTTCAAGAAAATAATCCACAAGTCAGAACCGCTTTTCTAAAACACCTAGCACATCATTATTTTAATTTACCTATAACCGTTAAGTCATTAACCTATCAAGATGTGTTTTTTTCACGCAGACCTTTGACGCTTCAATGGGTAGTGCGTAACTCGACGAAAGGGTAAAAAAAGGCAGCCGGGCTCTTTATTTTTTTGCCCACCGATTTTTTCCTAGGGACCGAAGGGTTGATGCAGATGTCCGACGTCATCTGCTAATCCAAGAAGAAGGTGACTCTCGGTTGTTTTCAAACAAAAGCGACCCTGTAATTTGAAAGGGTGTCATTTGGGCAACAGTTGCCCTACCGAGCAATTAAACCCCTTACGCTCTGCTCTCATGATTGGCGGCGAAGGGCGTCTATCGTCTTTCCTGGGCCTACAAAAAAGAAAATAACCGCGTAAATAATAGTTAAACAGTAAATAAAAAACATCAACGTTCGTTTTTACATGAATAGAATAGAAACATCCGACAACGGTTCATGGCTTAAGGACCTAAGTGAGAATTATTAGTTACTTAATTTTCAGTCAGGATCCTTAAGCCATTACTGATTGAAAACCACCAAAACTGTGTATAGGTCCGTTTGATCTTCAATTTATTCACTTTCAGTACTTATTCTTATGATTTATATAAATAATTATTTGGAGGTCGTGAGATGCGGTCTGGTGTAATTTTTCTTTGTCGTGCCAAGTTTCGAGCTTTATTGAGATCATCATCAGGGCTCAAAGAGTTTGTTTTCTGTGTAGATGTGTCACTATTGTGCGTCGTGTTGAGAGTGCAAAAGAATGTCACATCTACACAGAAAACAAACACTTTGAGCTCTGAAGAGGATCTAAAAAATGATCGAAACGTTGGCACGATAAAGAAAATGTTTTTCTGAAACCTACATCACACCAGACCGCATCTCACGATTTCTGAATAATCATCAAGTAACGGTCACTTATGTATAGCACATGTATAAATAATATCAAGCCACGCATTATGCAGTTGGCCCAGAACGGACAATACTGATGTTGAAATGAGACCAGTGATCTTTTTTTCCCCCAAGAACTGCAGCCTTCTGGCCTATTGTATTTTCCTCGTTCCATAGTTCAGTCAATGGACTCGAACTTCTTCTAAGAAATACTAGATCATGGAGTGTCGTTGTTGTAATTCCTTTCCCTAGGTTATGTCTCCATTGAGCGGTTGCTTCACATTCGATTATGATATGGATGGGTTTTTCTTCTCCAAGAATTGCAGCCTTCTGGCTTATTGTATTTTCATCGTACCATAGTTCAGTCCATGGACTCGAACTTCTTCTAAGAAATACTAGGTCGTGGACTACGGTTGTTGCAATTCTTCTCCCTAGGTTATGTCTCCATTGACCGGTTGCTTCACATTCGATTATGATATGGATGGGTTTTTCTTCTCCAAGAACTGCAGCCTTCTGGCTTATTGTATTTTCATCATCATCATGATCATCACCATCATCCCTAAACAATTTTCATTGTTCCATAGTTCAGTCAATGGACTCGAACTTCTTCTAAGAAATACTAGGTCGTGGACTGCGGTTGCTGCAATTCTTTTCCCTAGGTTATGTCTGTCTCCATTGAGCGGTTGCTTCACATTCCATTATGATATGGATGGGTTTTCTTCTCCTCATTACGTAACCTCCAAATGGGGGGGGTCATCACTGAAGATGTGTAGATGTTTTCTCAGATGCCAGTGACATCACGCCTCTGATTTTATCCTCTGTAGCAGTGAGTCTGCTAGTCTTGTTGAGTGTTGGTTCAGCATAAGCTTACTGTGCCTAGCACCCCTAGATTTTTTGCCTGTTTTGGATCCCTTCTTTCATGGCAAATACGAGTTGGGCGCCCTAACTTCTCTGCCACCGCGTTTCTCAGACCTATATGATAAATAAATTCAGGCGGAACTTAACCGTACATAAGACTAATTTTTTTCCATCTAAATCTGAAAAAATACGACAAAAATAAAACGCAAAATAAATCTTATTTATGGTTGTTTGCACGTTAATGGTGGCCAATGTTTATATTTTTTTTCTGAGAATCATCAATTTTTTTTTGATAACTACAGTCAACGGCTTATAGTTTCTTTTCATCCTACTGAAATGTGTGACATATCGATTAATATTATATCAAAATTCACATATACAAAGAAACCTAACTGAAAGGCTGTTGTTCTTCTGAATTCTCTTTTTCCTTGTGTTTCCTTACAATGTCAAAACAAATTTATAGAAATTTTTTTGTCAGCTTTTAAATAACACAAGTCCATTCCAACTTTGTTCACAGCGAACCTTGGACGATTTGACCGAGTGACCTTGGCCGCCAGGACACATCGAGCAACCCGGCATAATATGAAAGGCATTTCCCTTAGGATGAGACCCGTTGAAGGATGGCCCGGCGTGTTTGGGGGTTATGAGACCGTATATTTTGCCACTTATGCAAAGTAACCCTATTAAGTGTGATTTATGATTTCAGGAGAATGCGATGCCGAGGGGCGGCGGATGTGCGACAAGAGCAGAAGCGAGGATGAGCGGCGTCAACAAAACAAAAATAACCATCTCTCGAAAAGCTTCAAGTCATAAATTTCATAAAAAACTTATAAATTTATTACTATATATACACATATAAGGTTTTGTAATATTCATAAAATGGTTTTATTTCCAGAGTACAAGACGATTGTGCCCTCAGAACAAATTAAGAATTTTAGATTTTAGGATGTTGGAGGATGTTAAGATTTCGTTATTTCGTATAGTTCCTGTCTTTATACCTTCAAGGGAGAGCCGGACAATAAATAGCCTTTTTTGTTTGTCAATGTAAGTTTAGACCCCTTCTCATGTAGTCTTTTTTAGTAGTATGAATCTTATATTTGAACCTTTAATGATGAGTTTGGTATGGGTATTTCGAGGAATATTATGAGGTTCGCAAATGGAATAAGAAGATAATTGAAAATGTGGGGTGTTGTTTTAAGGGGAAAACGTTAAACTAGATTTAATTTCTATCACCTTTGTTCTCCTTTGGAAGAACCAGGGATCGAGTAGTGTAAGCGACTTTGAAAATTACCTGAAGCTAAACTATTTATCGTATTAGTATCGATTTGTCACCGGCAAAGAGTGAGTGGTTATGTCAGTAGTAAATTAGACGTCATCAGAGCAGTACTGCTTCAGTGTCATAACGTCTACAACTCATTAACCTCGATGGATAGGCGAGTGGTATCACCGAAAGCCGAACTGATGATGACAAAGAAGAAAGAAACGAACAAACCAACATCTCTATTTAACAAATTGGGAATTAAAACATCACTGAATATGACAAACTCGGAAAACCGCTCAGATGAAAATGATGATGAGAAGGCTACCAAGGTGCTTGGATCTGGTATCCACCAAGCTCTCCAGCCTTTTGATTAATTGTACTCTTCCTAGTTTCTAAGTTTGGTTCAATGGACTTGATTCTTCTTTTAAGAAGTAATACATCATCGCTGAAGTTATTTTTCTAGGATATTCTTGGCATCGTAGGTTAAATATCCATTGAGCTATTGCTCATGTCGCATGATGAAGATATTAGGAAGAATAAATTTGGTATTCCTCATCAACTGTAGCTTATTGTATTTTTCATAGTTCCTTGATTCAGTTCAATTGGCGCCATTCTTATTTTAAGAAGAAGTAGGTCTTTGATTATCATTACTGTGATTAATTTTCCTAGGTCTTCTTGGTACCCTAGATTATTTATATGCAGTTGCGGTTGTATTTGATTCTGCACGGTTATGATAAGGATACTATCAAGAATGAGCTTAGTATTCCTCAAGCATTGCAGTATGTTGGGTTATTGGACTTATCCCAAGTTCCTTAGCGGTTTGCTACAGCTTACAGGGAAAACGCTGCAGTTCTTTTCCCCAGGTCTTCTTGGTAAACGTAATACTCCATGAACGGTTATATGTTTCGAAATAATATGGATGCTGTTTCCTCCTCCTTTTACATAACCTACAAATGTGGTCATCATTGAGCAATGTAATGTAGGATTCAATTCACTAATTTCGTGGTCCGCTTGACCAATTAATATATTACAATTAATTAAGGTTTTATTTGAGATAAAAAGTCAATTGCACGAGCGGGATTCGAACCCACGATCTTCGGCTTGATACGCCGGTGGATAGCTCAAGTGGTAGAGCAGCGGCGTATCAAGCCGAAGATCGTGGGTTCGAATCCCGCTCGTGCCATTGACTTTTTTATCTCAACTAAAAACCTTAATTAATTGTAATGTAGGATTTTGCTCAGATACAAACCGCATATTTAGATACTTTTACCTTGTTTATTGTACCAACCTGTTTGTCAGTAACCTCTGGAGGTCGTCCACTTCTTCTTTGGTGGACCTATTCTGAGATATAGGAGTCTATGTTTGATCTCGATATCCTACCCGTAAGTCCCGAGCCTTGCAGATCCTGCTCTTAGCAGTTAATCTGTTTGTTCATTATCCAGAATTCCTTCGTACCCTTGCATCCAAGTTAACTCATGTTTTCTCTGGTTTGAAGGTTTGTGATGAACTCATTGACTATTTTAGTTGTTAAAATTTCATGTGCAAATGGTTTTAGAGCTGCTTGGTTGTATGATCATATGGTAATTCTTTTGTCACTGTAACCCCTTTTAAGATTTTCTATGGCACAAGAACTGAGAGCGTTTCAGCTTGAAAGACCGAGGGTAATTCCCTTGTATTTCATTTTCTTTTGATTTATTCTTGTCCTTTGTAGTATGTTAAAACTTTACTGGATGTTTCAAAAGTTATTTTCGGGATTGTACATTGAATGTATGACTGATTTATATCTATTATTGGTCTTTGCCCTAAATATCAGTAACAATCCAATTAATATTTATTTTTTGAAATCTGTATGAGCTTTTTGATGCATATATGCTTCAAAAAGGAGTTAGGTTTAATGGTGTTTCTTTAGGGTGATAATGAGATTGTAGTCATTTCCTTTGTGGATTATGGTAGGTGGTATTTTTTTATTTTATAAAGCATACGTTCATTTTCCTCTAATAGTTTAAAATTATTTTACAGCTTATATAGTTTTTTTATAACTGTATAAAGTTAGATTATCCTAATTGCTTTGTTAATTGTTATTTAGATTTTTGTTGTTAGATATTGCGAAAATTGGAAGAGAAAGATTATTTAAGGATTATTATGTTTAACATAAGGACTTGAATATTTACATATCACCTGAAAGTAACCATTGTAACCTCGTGTTGACTGACGTCGAGGTATTGATTCGAATTCGGTTGTCAATTTGTCAGCGGCTTTCCAGGGCCCCTCGCACCGCACCGCACCCTCTCACCGTGTCTCGCTCTTACACCACTCGTTCTCATAAGTCGATACTCTCGCCCCCGATATTCCTCCTCTATGGATATACGCGGGGGTGGGAAGGAAAAAATCCCCCGGGCCTCAAAACGGAAGGAGAAGGGTCTTCGATAAAAAAAAAAAAAAATACATAAGGAAAAATTCCCGAGCCAAAGGCCACTGGAAATCTCGCCAAAATATGCAAATATCCGATGTTTTTATAATATGCGTGGTGATTGGTAACCGTTAATCGATATTTATTTAGAAATCGTGAGATGCGGTCTGGTGTGATGTTCGTTTCAGAAAAACATTTTCTTATCGTGCCAACGTTTCGACCTTTATTGAGATCATCTTCAGGGCCTGGGATTTACAAACATGTTTACACATAACAATTACATTTTGGATGTGGAAAAGTGAATTTATACAATGCAAAATATATTTTTTATATATTCAATCAAAGTATTATGTAAAGTGTTATGTCAAAGTTATATGTAAATCCCAGGCCCTGAAGATGATCTCAATAAAGATTGAAACGTTGGCACGAAAGAAAATGTTTTTCTGAAACCTACATCACACCAGACCGCATCTCATGATTTCTAATAAATTTTTATAATATATTATTTGAAAGTATAGACCCTCCGGACGGTGGTATAGTGCTTTTATCTAAAAATTCCTCTTATACAACATATATGTTCCGAAGAACCCACAATTTGGAAGATATAAAACATACAGTAGCTTTAAATTGCCGTCAACATGTCGTATAATTTAGGTTAATATATTTTTCAAATGCACTAGATTATACGTAATCATCCTGATCCGCCTAATCCTGCATGATGTCTCCATAAAAAGACTCATATAGCAATTTCGCCAAGTGCGTCAACTTATTAGTATTGACATATTGACTGACCTGAAATATCTCATATTTTGGTCCGCTTTTGGAGCGTATTTTAACTATAGGATAAAAGCCAAGAAGTTAAACAAAGAAATTATACTTTACTGAACTGTATATTTTGGCCGTCTAGGTCTCGTTTTTTTCGGGTTTTTAGTTACTTCCTTTGCCCACATATATTTTTATTCTTATAAGCGAACCTCTTTCTCGTGAAACATTACAAAAAAACATGTTTACACTGACTTAATCATAAATAATTTCGAAATATAATTTTTGGTCCGTCCGCCTTCGTTTCCGCAAAACGTTTGATGTAAAACTAATTTTTTTGTGACCAATAAAATGTTGGTTACAAAACACCATAAAATGGATAAGAAACTAAAAAATAAATTTAATTGGAAATGACAATAAGATTTTATGAGAAGGTTGAGATTTAATTATTACTAAATTTGGTCCGCTAGTTCTCGCTGTTTCCGTAGAACTTTACTTAGAAATCGTGAGTTGCGGTCTGGTGTGATGTAGGTTTCAGAAAAACATTTTCGGCACTCTCGACACGACACGCAAGAATGTCACAATTAAACAGAAGACAAACACTCTGAAGATGATCTCAATAAAGATCGAAACGTTGGCACGATAAAGAAAATGTTTTTCTGAAACTTACATCACACCAGACCGCATCTTATGATTTCTAAATAAATATCGATTAACGGTCACTAATCACCACTAATTAAATCTAGCATTTTGGCACTATTGTAAAATGTAAATCGGAAAATTCTATAAGAAACGAAAGAATAGGCGAAAGACCATCATCACGAAACGCAATAACCTACTTAAATGTACATTTTGGTAAGCCTCTTCTCAATTTTTTTTGTAGGATTGTAAGTCTATGTTTGCTTTCTTAATGTTATTTTGCAACCAGTAATTAATAAATATTAAGGTATAGTAAGAATACATAAATTCTAAGATAGAAAGGGGTATAGAAAGGGAAATAATTTCGTTTTAAGATGTAAATTCCGGTCCGCTAGTTATCGCTTGTTTGATGTGAAAGAAAGGTAAAATAAAAATTCGCCCTTGACCCCAGGGTGAAAATGCTGATGAACAACTTTTATATATACGAAAAATTTAATAACGAACTATCCATTAAGGCTAAAACTCTGTTTTTCCTCTCTCATTGTCTGAACTTTCCGGTTCCTTTTTCCCCTGCACCTTTTTTTCTCTTACTTTTTTGCAGCCTTGTACAAAATCCTCACGTCGCCTCCGAGTTATAAATCAACGGTAGAACATCTGTCCGTAGCCCCGGCTGAAAGGGTTTATGCAAAGTATGCTGAGAGACGTTGCATAATTTCGGCTCC